TGCTGCTATGAACATAGCTGAGCATGTATCTTTATGGTATGAATCAGCATTCCTTGGGTATATGCCCAAGAGTGGGATAGCTGGGTCTTGAGGTAGTTCGATTCCTAATTTTCTGAGAAACCGCCATACTGATTTCCACAGTGGTTGTACAAGTAGTAAACCCTTTTTATCCATATATCTTTACTTGAAAGTGTTCATTGCAAACAACCATTGGTCTGGTTCAAGGCCTCTGATTCTGCTACACTATCAATGCTGGGCCTCACTAGAACTCTTATTGGTTATCCTGTTGTTATCCTGTGTTGTGGAGATCCTGCAGCTTTGGGTCTGCAGGACCTGTCCCTTCACATGCTCCAGCAGATCACAGATGGGATGGATGTTGGGGTGGGCCGACACATAACCCTGGTTCGGGGCCTGGGTAATTGCAGATTTGGTCAGCCCACCAGCTCTCCCTTGCCCTTATCACCAGGATGAAGCTCTGCTGCATTGCCCTGGTGAGTTCACCCTTTGTAGTGATGAGCAGGGGGTGGAACCAGTTCTGCTTTCGTGTCCTCAGGGTGGGTTCTCCCACAGAGAACCAGCTCTTCTGTGTTGCCCAGGCAAGGGGCAGGAGCCACTCTCCCAAGTGCTGCAGCTGATGAGGGACAAAGACAACTCTCCCACCTGCCTCAGGCATTGATGGGTGGGAGTGGGGTGGGGGAGAACATCTCTCCCCTACCCATGCTGCCACATGACAGATGAGTAATGGGGAAAGCTCTCCCATTCTCAACTTTGGAGTTGGCTTACCCCCACCTCCACCAATGGAGTTGGCTCTATTTTGCTGCCAAAGCAGGGTGCAGGGCCTGCTCTCCCAAGTGTTGCAGCTGGTGATGGGCAGGGGCAGCTCTCCTGCTCATATGGTCCCAGGGCCAGCGCTCCCACCTGCCTCAGGCATTGATGGGCAGGGGAGTGGAATGGGAGAGGGCATCTCTCTCCTGCCCATGCCTCCCCTCAGTAGCAACACTAACTGGTATTTATTAAGTGCTCTTTATACACCATGTCCCTTGAGCTACTAGCCAGACATGGGATAAATTAAGCTATTTTAAGAGATCTTGTGAAGACCATGTACAAAGTGAACTAACAAGGAACACTTAGTACCAAAGTCTGTCAACATGTGAAAGCCATTACCATCCCTACAGACATGTGAGAACTGGGGTCATAGAAAGGGGGCTTAAGAGAAGAAAGGGGTCATAAACTATCTCAACCTCACTCACCTCCATGGATAAAGTTCCAAGAAGTATTTCTTGTTTTAAGAGCACTGCTCAGTTCCACAGTCCATTTCCTAATTGGGTTATTTGTTCTCTTGGTGCTTAGGTTTTTTTAGTTCCAGGGAAGTCTCATTTCTGCAGTCACAGAAGTTTAGTGAGCAGCTGAAGCTACTCACCAGGAGCAGAGCATAGGGCAGGGGAAATGGACCAGAAACTCAGAACTCCAGGTGTCCTGAGCCCCTGTAAAGTATTCCCTAGGGAAAGTTCCAGAGCAACACAAGGTTAAGGACAGAGACCCAAGGAAGCTCTGGAGTCTTTATAGGGCCATTTAGAAATGGAAAGGGTGATGATGGCTGATGATCCACAGAGTAGCAAATATAACCACTGTTCTACCATGCTGCCTCTACCACAGTGAGACGTGGGCCCAGAGGTTGTCCAGGTGATCTGTTTGGGAGAAAGAGCTCTGCCCATGTCCATCAGTGACAGACCTTCATCTGTCCTCATGCTGCACTGGGGTATCTGAGGCTAGTATTTGACTAACAGAGTGAAGGTCTACAGTCAAACAAGAACAGAGAAAATAGTCTGTCTTGAGCCCCTTTTCACACTCTAAACCTAGGGGGAGGGGTGGTTGGCAAGCCCACCCTTTCCCATTATAAAGTCACTCTATCCATACCCTTATTAATCTCATCCATCCACCAGGTAGGCCGGGGAAATGGGATTTTCCCAAGGAATTAGGGAGCCTTTGAGTGCAAAGGAATCTAGCCAAAGCCTGCTGAACTGCAGGTCACATTTGGACAGGAATGAATTCACCAAGCTGGTGACAATGTCTTTGGAGGTCTCCTAGGAAGGCCAAGATCAATGTGCTAGTATACTCAGTGCCTAGAAAAGACTAACTTCTTTGTAAATGGCACCCTCTACCTTTTCTCTCAGGTGGCAGAAGGGGGCCCTTGAGTCTCTCCTAAGCCCATTCATGAGGGTTCTACATCATCACTCTCCTAAAGCGCTGCCTAAATCCATTCCCCTGGATTGGGATTTTTGAGAGGACAGAGTCATTTAAACATCCTCCAATGTCTCTCTGAGCTGAGCCCTGGGTTTCTACTATGCCAAGCCAAGCCTGGCTCAGACAGGCATTTAATCTATACCATTTGACTCCATTCTTGGACAGGAATTCAGAAGGACACCTCAAAGTTCCAAGTGGCCCACTTTATGAAGGACGGGGTAGTCTTGGAGAAGCCAGCCAAAGTGGAGCCACATTGCACAGTTCTGAAAGACCCCAGCTTCTCTCCTTTAGGAGTCATGCTAAAAAAAATCCCTGTCACCTGGCGATTAATATCCATCACCTCCATCACATTGCTCTACCATCAACCTCATGCTGAGGAACTGAAACTCCACCTTTACCTGATCCCCAATGACTGCACTATTCGGAAGGTGAGAACCATACGGGCCCATCCAGGGTGGGCTGACAGAAAACACGAAATGAGGAGAGCATCCCAGTGGGATCCTCTCCTGGGAGTGAGGGTGGGCCTCTTGTGAGTAGACCCTGGTGTGGGTGAGTGATCTGCCCTCTGCTCAGCCTTAATCTGGACCCCTCAATCCCAAGTCTCCCTTGTGTCTGCTGCTCCTTCACTCACCTCTTCACAGCTTCCTACAGCCTCTTTCGTGGCATTGGAAGGATGGGGAGGCTCCACACCCAACCTGCAGCCTTTCCCTGTCCTTTCTTCTCTGGCAGTGACCCTACGACCATTGTGAACATGGAACAAACTAGAGTAGAGCTGTCTGTACAGTGCACGGGGAGGAGGGCTGCAGAGGTTTGATTACACCCCCCAACCCCGCTTCCATGCACACACACAAAAGAACCAATGGACCATCTCACCTTATTCAGCAAGATTATGTAGGTCGGAAATCACTGTCCGTTACCTTCCTTAGGCCATAGATGATGAAGAAATGAAGTTCCTGTTTGTGCGAATACACAAGCCTCCCCCCATGGGCTCCCTTTATGTGGGCTCTCGATATACCGTGTCTTGTTCAGGGACTATGGAAATTATACCCAAGGTAAGCAGCCTGATATTTGCCCTTCTCGAAGATCAGATGTTAGGCTTGGGAAAACCTGTTGGGTGGTTCTCTCAGGTGCTGAAACTTGAGGTTTGGAGGAAAGCAATTGGAATTCGTGATGTACCAGAAATCACAACTGGATGGACTAACTTGGGGCACCATAGTGTTTAGGCTATACTGTGCTAAAGCCATGAAGCCAAATAAACCCGACTTATTACTCATCATGGGACATCTCAGTAAAAATGGTTCTAGAAAGAAAGCACTGTAGGATGTCTGTCATTTGGTAATTGTCAGGAAGGACTAAGGAAGCCTAATTACTCTATGTTGGGTATTGTCAGAGAGCAGGGACAATTCTATGACTGGTGATCTCAACAAACCAAATGTTACCGTGGTTAAACTAAAGCAATAGAATATTGGAATGGTTGAACATACAAGATTCATTTAGTATGTGTTTTAGGGTGTTTGGGATTCTGTGGGCTTCGTGGTAAGCTGTTTAAAGAAGATGCCCCATGCATGCCCAATGGAAGAGCTGTAACATGGCTGACCCACAAGTCTTGGAACTCTTTGTACTAACACTGAGATTTAGCTGAGTCTCAGATTCTTCCAGGACACTGGGGACTGCTTTTGGCTTCTCCCTATTTCTCAGTATATCCTCTCCCAACACTCTTTTACCAAAAGCTACTGAGCATTCATCTGTATTACCCACATGTCCATAACTGGCCCAGATTTTCTGCTCATGAACAGAAAGCATATGTGAATGGTGGTTTGTGGCTGAACCAGAGTTAGACGAGTGTGAGTTTAGTTTGAAACATCTATCAGAACACTGGCTAGCAACAGCACTTAAGACCCCAGACAGGCCAGGTGGTGGTGCACGGCTTTAGTCCCAGCACTTGGGAGGCAGAGACAGGTGAATGTCTGTAAGTTCAAGGCCAGCCTGGTCCACAGATAGAATTCCAGTACAGCCAGGGCTACACAGAGAAACCTTGTCTAAAAAAAGACAAAAGATAAATGATCCCAGACAGGGGCTGGGGAGATGGCAGCAAAGTGTGATTTCATGAAAACATAAAGGTCTGAGTTAAGAACCCCAGCACCCACGTGAAAAGCTGCCTGAAACTCCAGTGCTGGGAAGACAGAGATAGGAGGATCCCTTGGGAAAGCTGGCCAGCCTAGCAAAAAGTAAGGTGGAGCCTTATGAGCAAGATGGCTCAGTGGATAAAGGCACTTGCCACCACACCTGATGACCTAGGTTTGGTCCCCGGAGCCCAAATGGTAAATGGAGAGAACTGACTCCATCAAGCTGTCTTCTGACCTCCACATGCACACCATGGCACATGTATACACAAACACACACACACATACACACACACACACACACACACACACACACACACACACCTTGATGATCCTATTTAATATTGAGCTAGGTGACAGGTACTGAAAAGGAGGTGATGTCTGTCCATTACGTTTGGAATCATGAACCAAAGGATGAATAGGCAAGCTGCACAGTTTGGAGCCCTTCTGTATATCTGTTGCCAACCAGTGATAAGAGAGAGATAATCTACTCATTCAACAAATGTTAACCCAGTGCCAGAGATATGCTTCGGGGGAGATAGGTCAATGGACAGACAGATCCATTTACTTGGGAGGGTAGCATCCCATCAGATAAGACCTGCATAAATAATAGTAACCAGTAACACCGAGGGCTAACAAGTAAATACAGTGCCGTGAGAGAGACTTGGGATCACTTCTCAGCCTTTTCACCAAGATCAGTTGTAGGATTTGTGCTTATCAGAGAATGACTTGGACACTTCTACTGGCAAGTCAGAGAAACATCTCTGAGAAGATGCCACGTGAGTTGAGGCCTCAGTGACATAAAGAGTCGAGGCATGTAGGATTGTGAAGTACTTCAGACACAGGAACATATGCAGAGGCACAGAAGTGACAGCAAGCTTCAAGTCTCCAGGTGCCAGAGAGGAAGTCATCGTGGCAGAGTTGGTGCATGTAGCAGAAAGTGGGGTCACACTAGAGGCAGCACCTCCTAGGACTCATTGATCCAGTTTGTTCTGTTGCGGAATTTTGATTTTGTGCAAGTGCAAAGGCAAAACCCCACCATGGGGTCTGCTGTGGGATAATGCTCTTGTACGCTGTAAATATTTGTCACTCAGATTAGTTTTATAAAACACTGACTGACTTGCTGGGCGGTGGTGACGCATGCCTTTAATCCCAGCACTCGGGAGGCAGAGCCAGGCAGATCTCTGTGAGTTCCAGGCCAGCCTGGTCTACAGAGCAAGATCCAGGACAGGCACCAAAACTACACAGAGAAATCCTGTCTTAAAAAACCAAGATTTAAAAAAAATAAGAAATAATTTTTAAAAAAGTACTGACTGGTTAGTAGCTGGGCAGGAAGTTAGGCAGGAAAGCCAAACTGAGAATACTGGGAAGAAGGAAGGTGGAGTCAAGGAGTGGCTAGCCAGACACAGAGGAAGCAGGATGAGAATGTTGTACAGAGATAAGGTACCAAGCTACATAGCTAAACAGACAAGAATTATGAGTTAATTTAAGTGCAAGAGCAAGTGAATAATAAGCCTGAGCTACTGGCTGAGCATTTATAAATAAGCCTCATAGTCAATTATTTAAGAAGCAGCTGCTGGGTATTTGGGAACAGGCAGGCAGGAGAGAAACTATCATGTACAGGGTTTTAAACATGATCATGCAGGACTTTGTTTGCTCTGATAAAATGTCTCTAGCACTAGGTGAGAATAGATGATAAGCAGGCAAGAGCAAAAGCAAGAACAAGTCGAAAGGATGCAGATGAGAGGCATTGGTAGCTTAACTAAGGAAGCAGCCATGGAGATGAATAGTTGATAGAGTCAGGAAACTGACAACACAAGAAACTGTCAAGACCAAAAGGACTATGAGTCTTTATGATAGGTATCTAAATCAATCGTGTTGGTAAAGACAACAGGCTTTGATAGACAGGTTATTATGGGAAGATGCAGGAAGAGGTTACAGATGGTGCCTAGATGGGGATCTGGTCACTCAAAAGATGATTGTGCAGTTTTCTGAGTTTGAGGAGACTTGAGAAAGGCATGCTTGAAAGACAGCTGGGAGTCAAGTCTTCTGTCTTAGATTTGATTTGCCTAAGAAAAGACATAGCTGTAAGTTTTCTGTTGACTGGAAACAAGTTAAGTTTAGAACTTGTTAGGAATGAAATTTTGTACTAAAGGAATGAGGGCTTGGATTCAAGATAGAAAAGAAGGAAAAAGAAAGGCCCAGTTAAAGATGGACAGCCTGGCGGTGGCTGCACATGTCTTTAATCCCAGAACTCAGGAGGCAGAGACAGGCAAATCTCTAAGTTCAAGGCCAGCCTGGTCTACAGAATAAGTTCTAGGATAGCCTGGGCTACACAGAGAAATCCTATCTCAAAAAGAAAGAAAGAAAGAAAGAAAGAAAGAAAGAAAGAAAGAAAGAAAGAAAGAAAGAAAGAAAGAAAGAAAGAAAGAAAG